GTGGTGTGCTGAGATGTGTATATACCGTCGGATGCTGTGGAATAGGAGCAGTGTGTCCACACGGCATCATGGGGAAGCTGTGCGTCTGCTCAACAGGAATCGTAGTGGGTTGTGTCGGCAGTGTGGGCTGCTGAGTGGCAGCAATGCCAGTTGGCATCATTGCTGGGTAGCTTTGTGACTGCGGTACCCAGGTGTTCGGGTGAAATTGATTCAGCACCGGTCGGGCTGTTGGTGCATATGGTGTTGCTGGTGGCTGCGCGGCAAAATAATCCGGCCACATAGCTGCAACGAAGTGGGTGAAACAAACACAGTTGCACAAACAAAGTGCAGGCTGTCCTGGTTGTCCCTGCTGGACTGATTTGAGAGGTCGTAGACGGAGAGAAGGAAGAGGGCCGAGTACTCTCCGAAGAGAGCGCTGTTTCACTTGCTGTAGACACTGTTACCGCGTCTGCACTCATGTCAGATGCACATGCCCTTGCGGTCCCTGAGGAATAAAGAAGCGGTAGAATAGAGGGCAGACTAGCGAGGTAGCACCTGCTCACTAGACGCACTTTACTGCATTAGCCGTCCCTTACTGCACCTGCACTCATGTCAGACTCACATGCGAGCATCAGAGAGAGAGAGATAAAGTAGCATCGGGAGATTCTGAACGATCTGAACGAAGGCTGAACACCCGGTTCATCACCGGTCTCCCCGGAGGGTCACCACGGCGCCATGACGGAAAGCCGTTGCTCTGGAGTCTCAACGACCCACGCTGATCACACTGATGGATTCGGCCAAGAGTACGAGTGCAAGAGGAAAAGAGAGAGGCATGTTGTTCATGTTGCAAAGTTTTGTCAGATTGTGGCAACCGTACATCTTGTTTGTCTAATCTGGACACCACAGGGGGCCTGTCCTCAAAAACTAATCTTGGCACCACAGGGGGCTGCCATGCAGGTACACAGGACTGATCAGGTCCCGCTTCCCACTTGCATCCACAGCTTCGTTGAGTGTGGTAGGACGCAAGTGCCACACTCCCCTGCAACAGTTGATTTGGTAAATGTCCAATGCCGGATTATGTTGAAAAGCGAAATTGTAAACAGTGTAGGAGTGACCCTCTGCTCCCATGTGCTAGGGAGGTTCACACACACACACACACACACAAACATGCATGTGTGTGGGGCATAAGCACACGCAAAAACACGTCTAGGACGATTTCGCTCTGGAAGGAGCATGTCTGTGCAACACACAAACCCCAAGAAACTAACTCAGGACAAAGTCTAAGTCGCTCGCAAGCACCGCACATGGAAACTGGGACCACGAGTTCCTTGCTTCTGCAGCACACATGTGCGTGCACAACTTCAACCGAAAATTCTGCATCACACAGGCGGCTGCGCACGTGCGCGATCAATCATAGCACCCGGAAGGAACAGCGATCACGGATTCGGTGCTTCTGCACAAACACGCGCGCTCATTCGCAAATGCACAATCACCGAATGCAGAACTGCGAACAGGCGGGCTCCAAACTTCGGCAACACACGGAGGCAAACACAACGATTGCAAGCGGAACTGTGACCACGGCCGTTTGTAAGCTTTCATCTGCAGCCACATGCACCTGAAGTCACATGATCACATATCTGCTCAACGATGCCAAGCGGAACAGTCCCTTAATTACAACACGCGGGTAGCTGCTGAACACAGTCAAACTGTCGCCGCAAGCGAAGGCGGGACCATGAATTCCTTGCTTCTGCAACACACGTATTTGTGCTGGCACACAATCACACGCAAACACACATGCTCCCTGCAAGCAATCGTGACAACGAGTGCAACACGCAGGCACCACAAAAGAACGACTCACACTGGGATTCCTTAATCTCGAAATGCATGTCTGCGATCGCCGTTGCCGGAACCATGACAGCGGAACGCTGGCTTCTGCAGCACATGCACATGCACACTCGTAGACAAAAACATCTGCAAGCACTGCACACAGCAACTGCGACCACGCAATCAACTGGAACAACCCCAGACAGCTTTGCGGAACAGAAATGTACCTGCCGACAAATTCACACAACAGACGGCGATAAAGGGTTCCTTGCTTACACACGCATGCGTCCGTGCAATCACGGGAAATGACCCCCACACACGCACACACACACACACACACCAAAAAAGACATGTGTCTGCCGACACACCCAGAGCTGTCACACACGTTTGTGTTTTCCGCATCTGTACACACAAGTCACAAGAACCGCGGACCCGTAACCTTAGCTTCTCTGGTTCTGGGACACACAGGCGGCCGTGCATGCGTGCAATCACACAACACACACACACACACAAAAGCACCTCAAAGGAGCGGTGACCACAGATTCCTGTATTCTGAACATACACGTGTGCAGTCGCGTATGCACTCTCACTACCGCTTCATTGCGACCACACTCTCCACGTGCGCGAACGCAATCAAACACACAGTCGCAAGCACCTAGTTAGTTAGAGCAGAACCATAACCACGGCTTCCTTGCAGCACGCACACGTGCACTATCACAGGAGCAAGCACTGTAATCAGAACCATGACCATGAACTCCTTGCCATCGACACACGTGCGCAAGCGATCACACAAAAGCACCGCAAGCCGACATGTCATGAAGGACTTGTTTAAATATCTTCGTAGTTGAGCTCTGCAGCACACTTGAGTATGTGTGCGACCACCCACCTGCAAACAATGACCCCGGATTCCCTGCTGTGAGAAGCACAACAATTGAAAGTGGAGTAACACACGCACACACACACACACGTGCTTGCACGCGCGTGCATAAAAACACGCAAAGACATGCGCAAAGCAAGTGGAGTCGTGGCCACGATTTTTCCCTGTAAGGGGCATGTCTGTGCAACACACAGTCACGTACGCCAGCACCAATGGAAACTGCGACCACGAGTTCCTTGCTTCTGCAGCACACATGTGCGTTCTCAATCAACTGGAGTTTCTGCCACACACATTCGTCTGCGTGCATGTGCAATGAGATAGCGCCTCAACAGAGCAGTCACGGATTTCCTGGCTTCTGCACACGCCGAACTGTTCTCGAGGACTAAGCATGTCCACTGGCCTCTGGGGGTAGGTTTAGTGTTCAAAGTGCCGGTGCCAAAGTCAACTCCAACAGGTATGCCCTACCAGCCAAAGCAGCACACAAACCGGAAGCACATGCCGATTTTTTCTGCCGCCGGTTTTGCTAGAACGTCCAGTCGAAAGCTGCTCCAGGCTTGGCCGAAAAGCAGCCCCATGACCTGCGCAGGGTGCTAAACTTACAATGTAGCAACGTGGTTCGGTGCAGTATGAAGCTCAACCGAAGGCAACACATCAACTTTCAGCGACGCGTTCGATAAGAAGTACAGTTTTTTTTTGTGTTAGCACAAGTAAGCGGGTTGCAGTGATGATGGTGTTGCTGGTGGTCAACATGGTTGCCATGCAGAAAAAATACATTGGTGATGCAGCCGCTTCTGATGTTAATGATGGTGATGTGTAGCAGTAACAATAATGCCTCAATGCCCAGGGTGGTAGTAGTGTGCTGCATTTGATGCTGTTGGTGAGTCGATTTTTACGATTATGAAGACCAGGAATGTTGATCATGATGATGACTGCTGCGAGGATGACGATGATGATGGTGATGTTGATGGTGTTGATTATGATAAATGACGACGAGCATGATGATGGTGATGAGGGAGATTCAAGGGTGATGGTGACGATGAGAATGCTGATGGCGATGCCGATGACCATGGTGATGATGACGATGGTGATGATAGTGTACTAGTGATGAACGACAATGATGATGTCATCTGTGAACCGTCGCTTCTGTCTGAACTCTGTCTCTTGTTTTCTATGTTAGTCTTATGCATGTCTCACCTTATGTCTCACCATCTCACCGTCTCACCTGTCTCACTGTCTCATGTGCCTCACCTTATGTCTCACCGTCTCACATGTCTCACTGTCTCATGTGCAAGCAGTGCAGGCATCTCGCAACTTGTTTAGCATCTCGCAAGGCTCGGCGTCAGGATCAGCTCGCATAGCTTCGGGCGGACGACGCTGGAGAAGACTCGACATCGTCTCCTCGGATGTGCGGCGGATAGTGTTTGATTGATCTCGCTCTCGGGCTCTCGGTCGATCTCTCTCTTTTATTTCTCCCTCGTCGCTCGCTCAACAGTCAGCTCATGTTGCTGCCACGTGGCCTGCCTCTGCTGTGTTTGCCGTGGTTGCTGCTTCACGCGGTAGACATTGGAGTCCATGTGGATACACATTGAGATACGATTCGATAACATCCCAGAAGCCTTTGCAGCTACCTCTCAATCTGGAGTTTATCTCCGGGCAGGCGACATATAAATGAACCAGGATGTAGTCCCTTGCGACGGCGCTGTGCTGAAGGAGAGATAGCAGATCTCGGTGAGGAGCAGCAGCCATGGTCAAGTCAAGGAAAGGATGAAGATATGCAATGTAGTTGGTTTCGAGCCAGAACCTCATGCATACATATATGTTGATGTCGTTGTTGTTGCTGTTGCTGTTGCTGCAACGCTGTGAAACTGTGAAACTGTAAGACGTTGACATTGTGAAACGGTGTGAAACGGTGTGAAACGTTACAAACCCTCACTGTCATGCAGCCTCTCCGCCTCTGTCTCTCACTACCTCAGTGTCTGAGTGCACGCAGAAACATTTCCAGCTTCCGTGGTGCGCGTGTCGTGCATCGTGCAAGTGAGAAGGTCTGCACAGTGAAACGGTGAGACGATGCAGGGCCCAAACCAGTGTGCACGTAGCACGTATGAACATATAATTGAAGCGACAGAAACATAGTTAACGACATGATACGACATGTGAAACTCTCACACACTGCACTGGCCTGCACCGGCGTGGCTTGTGGGTCAATGACTGTAGGTCACTGAAAGCGACTATTCGGGATATCATCGATATCAGACATCAAAGGCTCGGATGCATTCACGTGCAACCGTGCAAAAGTGCAACACATCAATCATACATCAATCTACTTCGTCAAATGCTTTGCATTTGCGTTCACACGTGGCTTCTTTGTCGGTGAGCTCTTGGTCAAGCGGCTCACGGCTGACGTAGTTGCGCCAACACCGCCGAAAAGGCCTAGCTTGCGAAGGGCCTCGTTGGCAAGGGGCCAATCTCCCTCCGCCAGATGCGCCTGGCCAGGGTATGCTCGCTGTGCGCCCTTTTTTGGTTTCCACTCTTCTCCTGGCAGATGGAGGAAGGCATCTCCGTCGATGACTTTGATCAGGACTGGCGTCAAACCAGCGTCCTCTCCGTCGGTGGTAAAGCGGAGGACTGGAACCGAGTACTTGATTGTCGTGCTCTTGTAGATCATTTGGCATGGGAGCTCTCCGATAATCAGCGCTGGGCGAGCTAGGTCCGTTGGCGGGATCATCCAGGTTGCACATGGAGTCTCACTCTCCAAGGTATCGAAGCTATTGCCCCTGATATAAAACTCCAATTCACACTCGTCGTCTCCGCAATCATCGCCGTCACCACTGCCGCCAATACCTGATGTCTACTTTATCAAAATCGATATTCGACTACTCGACTCAGTTGCTGCAACAAACAAACGACGTTCAATGGTCGCATAGTGTCGATGCTTCAGTGGCTGATCGGGATCACCCTGCACGGTGACTTCGAGTGACGTTAACGTCATCACTCTTGGCGGTTTCTGCACGACGGGGGCAGCGGTGCCTGACACTGAGATTGATAGTTGATTTGATGACATGATGACCTGATGACCGCCGTGAAACCGCGACTTCTAATCTACACTGTAATCTACATGACGCCAATGTTCGGTGTGTGATTACAGTTGTCAGTCTATCGTCATCGAGCGACAAACGTCGCCCCAGAAGCACAGCTTGAAATTATCTCTGAGCTCCGGCGTGGTCACCTCATCCAGTCTTGCCCGTACACCGTCTTGTCCTTGCGACAAGTCCTTGTAGTTGTCAATGATGTTAGTGACCTGTTGTGTCTTTGGCAAACGCAGCAGCACTTCTGTTGACTTGACTTTCTTGTCACCCTTCTCAATTTCCTTGACACAGAAGGTCACGGCACCACTGCAACCGTTGCGATCTTCGTAGCTCCTGTGTGGGTTTGCATGTGTTGAATGCCTTGATTCTTTAACAGTTTAAGTACATGGACAAGCCATGGACAGACCCAGCAAGAACTCCTGCATTGCATCATCAAATCCGCAGCCAACAACAAACAGAACTCCCGCACGGCTTCGGTCGCAAACAGGATCCCTGATGTGCCTGCAATGCCCTCACCTTTCTTGGCATGATCCGTTGCCAGCACACTTAGCGCACGATAAGAAACCATCCGAGTCCCGTCCCCGGAAGATGCTGCTGCACCTTCGGCTGAGGTGTTTGCCTGACCAGCAGCGGTCGAAGATTCCTGCACAGGTTGAACGGCTGATGGAGCGTCCTCGGTAAGATCATCGATGGTTACCTTGCCTTTTCGAATAAGCTCCATCAGTCCACTGGCATACCCACTGGCAAGACTGGCAACATCGAACGGAGTACACATGGCATCCATCTGTGCAAACACCCCTATGTGCGATTGGATCAGTGTCATCAGCTTGTCGCCAGAGATCTCACAGTCTGATGGCACAAGGACAAAATATAGAAGCACCGGAGGCGCGCTAGGCAGGTCACGCCAGAAGGTGTTAGGATTTTTTTGAACAAATCGTTCCTAGCATGATCCTTGAGGACTGCTGGCAGGGCATCCCAGTTGCCCACTAGGTGTTGGCCAAGGATTTGGCCAGTGGCAACCACTGCTGCAGGCAGGACGGCGAGTACCGATGAGCATGCGTGAAATGCCACGTCCGCAATGTCCGCGACCGTTTGATGGAGCAAACAACTCTCCTGGTTCGTCCTGTTGTGCTGACTCTGGCACACGACATGTGCAGTGACCGGAAGAAACAACAATCACACACAACAACACCAGCGGCAACAAGAACAAGTCTACAACTACACCGAAAGCTGAAGCAGTGAAACATGTGTACCTTGTATGTGCAGGTGTTCACACAACACACACAACGTCAGCAGTCCTATTCTCGCCGCAGGAACACATGTCGGTCCATTCGCCGTAAATCTTGTTGTAGGTCAGGTGATGCATGATCTTGTCAAACATGGATTTGTCGCTCGGTGGCTGCTCGAGAGGATTCTCGGTGCGTGTGGCACCCATCTCCAGGTCGAGCCACGTGAGGAAATCGCTGATGAGAGGTTCCACGGACTGTGCAGCCAGTGCATTCTGAACTGTTGCCGCTGTTGTAGTGGTGGCTGCCGAACTCGACATGGCATGGTGTTGGTGTGCATGCGACCCAGCACTAGCACTTGAGAGAGCTTCGGACACCTGCTGCTGCGTGTCGGAGGACGATACAAACCCTTGCTCCAAACCGGCCGCACAGATAAGCTTGTCGGAGTATGCCGCCGCAACCTGTGTGTGGGTGTGTGTGTGTGTATGTGTGCGTTTTTGTGTGCGTGCGAGACTGTGACTGTGGCTGCGCAAACAAATGCAAAAGGAAGAAACAATCGTTGCCCTGCCTTGTGGTACTCATTCATTGCGTAGAGCTGCAGTTGAGGTCTCAACGTAGACCATTTCTTGTGTTTTTTCCCATCCAACACAAGCTCTCGCTCACATGCAAAGAATATGCCCCGGCGGATGCATTGTTCCATGATACGACACTCTACTGAACTGTACACCGGCATATCGGTTCCCATGTAATCGGCGGCTGTGGCACTGTCAGAGTCTCTGATAACTCCCCATTTGTGTCTGCAAGCTAACAAAGACGACCTGATTGCCATCGCCAAGCAATCCACGAAGTATTTGTCCCGCACGAGCTTGCCACCCTGCACTGAGTCGACAACGATAGCACTGTCAAGCTTGCTGCTGTCCTCGATTCCCTGGGTCTTGGCGGATGATTTCGCCTTTGCTTTACCCTTAGCTTTCGCTTTGCCCGCAGCTTTCTTTGCCTGTGCATCTCCCGTTGCTTCCGTCAGCACTGTGATTGCATCTTTGGTGTTTTTCTTCGCCTGCTTCTGAGCATTGATCTTCTCCTGCAGCTGAAACACCTTCCCTGTCAATGGAGTCATAAGCAAAGCCACCTCACCAGCGCACGAAGCACCCTTCTTGAACAGCCACTTCATCCCCGGCTGCTCCAGCGGCATCTCGGTGTGTGGCAACACAGGCGTGACAGGAGTTACGAACAACAACACCAACAACAACAACAACAACAACAACAACAACAACAAGTACAAGTAACAACAACAAGTAACAACAACAAGTAACAACAACAACAACAACAACAACAACAACAACAACAACAACAACAACAACAACAACAACAACAACAACAACAACAACAACAACAACAACAACAACAACAACAACAACAACAACAACACCAACAACAATAACAACAACAAATAACAACAACAAATAATAACAACAACAACAACAACAACAACAACAACAACAACAACAACAACAACAACAACAACAACAACAACAACAACAACAACAACAACAACAACAACAACAACAACCACAGCAACAACAACAACAACCACAATAACCACAACAACAACAACTGCTACTACTACTGCCACTGCTACTTGCAACGACGTCTGCAGTCTGCAGCTATGACTCTACGACTTCACACAGTGAAACAGCAGTTGTATAACAGTGAAACAGTGAAACAGCCCACAACTACAGCTCTACGACTATACGACTCTACGACACTGTGAAACGGCAGGTGTGAAACTGCGAGAGCTACAGACTGACCAGACTGACCTGCGTACCGGATCCGTATTATGACACATGTCGAGTGACACAGCACGAAGCCAGAGCCACGATGATTGCTTTGCGCTCCTGGAATGACATAGAGCCGAAGAACGCCGTGCATGCAGCGATGAGTTCCTTGAGGCAAAAGATCACCTGGTCATGTGCTAGCTCTGCATGTAGATAGTTGCAATGCTTCTCGGCCAGCTCCTTCAGCTCCGGTAGAACATGATACCTTGACAACATGTTGTAAAGGTTTCGCGTAGCTTCGAAATCTTTGAATGTCGACCACACGTCCGGGTAGTTGCTCTGGATGAACTCTCTGTATCGAATCTCGTATTCTTGGCTGCGTGCTGTGATACCAGTCGCAACGCGATGATTCGACCATGCTTTCTCGACCTCAGAACAGCTATCGATGTTTAACGACGTGACATCACTTCATCACTACGACAGAACCCAGGTCCATGCACACACCACCAATTTTGCAACCAGAGTGGCGTCGGGGATCTTGGACAGCATTTCTATGAACGACGTAGTTGATCCTTTATGGAACTGATTGTGATACGTCACCCTTGGCACGGCATGCGCGTGGGGAGGTGGCGTTGATCTGGCTTATGGCCTAGGGCATATGCTTATGGGTGGACTTAGCTGATGGCCCAGGCTGATGGCATCTTAGTTGTGAGACGGTGAGACGTGAGACAATACATCTGTGAGACAATGATGTTGTGAACCCATGTGCATTAAGCTATCAGAGTTTATACGTAATATGACTGAAGATCGAGACTTGTATTGTTGTTCTGCCATAGCCATAGGCCATAGGTGTGAGACGGGCAGATTTGTGAAACAGGTTACGGGCACGATCAGTGAACTGTGAAACCAAAACTACATCTACACACATGCAGCACATGCACACAATGCAAACACAAAAGCCTCAACAGCCCAGTCACAAGAACTCCAACACTGCATCAGGTGTCCGGTGGTCATACACTATCACGTCCAAGCCAGCACGATGTGTGAGCTTCAGGTTTGGGAAACTGTCTCTGTCTGCATCAGCCCACGCAGCATAAAATGCTTCCGTCCTGACATGCAGAAGACATGACAGCAATGAATACATGAAAGACAGCAACAATATAACAATATGCAGCAACCAAGCAATCAAACAAACAGCCGGAACCGGGAAACACACTGCAGAACAATCAATACTGATGCACACAGGCAGGACACAACGTCCCGAAGGTGAGTGCAAGATATGCGGTCTCATTGTTCTCTGGGTTCGGTGCCCTGACCCACGCCTCCCCTCGCACGCCCTTGATGATTCCGCGCGATTGCACTGACTTCTTGTAAACCTGCAAGACTTGATCCTGACGTCTGGAGTTGAGTGGATGGCGTAGGATGGACTTCTGTTCACCGTCACCAATGAACCACGCCAGGTTCTTCACAGAAGGCACCTGGCGTCATATTGATTACGTTACAGAGTCGAACATACTAACCCATCAAGATACATCGAGTCATTGAATGCAATCAACGCAACACCCTGCCACAGCCTTGTAGATACGAGTGATTTCGTCCAGCAGTTCTCTGCCTGGTTGCACGTGTGGTCCGAAGATGTCCACCAACGTAGCGCCCTTGCTGTAGAGTTTGGCGAGGTTCACATTGATGGTTCCTGTGTGTGCATTTGCTTCGGAGTTTGAACCCTGCATCGCCATCGCGGATGCCTTTGCACGCGGTTAGGACCGTGGGACAGTCAGGAAGGCGTGCGCAACAAACCGAGAAAGTTCGAGCAGCTGTCTTGAGCTTGAACAAGTGTTCATAACATCACATGATTCCAGGTGTTGCCACTCAAGGCATGTTGTGAAGCATGCATACAGCAGAACAACACCAGGCACATCACAACACGAAACCGCACCCGGCCCTGTATTTCAACACTCATCGGTGCATGATGCGGCTTCCTGAACGGCTGGCACAACAAAAATCGTGCTCCGGATTCACAGACAGCACGACGGCTATGCCACCAGATTCCAACACTGCCAACACGAGTTCCCGCCCGAATGTTGCATTCAGGGTCAAGGACCGGGCGGCTGCCACAGAAGAAAACCTACGACTCCGACCAGTGAAACTGTGAAATTGAAGACTGACTAATGATGTGCTCTACTTCTTCCTCAAGGCCCGAACAACGCGCGCACTGACCGCAGAGGACTTGGGACTACTGCACATACGCAGTTCTCGCACAGCTGTCAAGATCTCAGCATCCATCGATACTTGTGTCCAAATGCACATCATGATCACACCGATCACATTGCAGTGCATAGTGTTTCCGGCCATTCTGCAAATCTGTGATCTGCTTGGCCAGTCTGGAAGCGATTGGCCCAACCCGTCCGAAGCATCACCAGGACCATCACCCACCCGTCTGCTCCTGCCCGCGAAACTACAGCAGACTTTGTCGTAGGAGAAAGTCCGCAGTACCGGGAACCCCTGCAATGTCAACAGTTCCCGAGCTGACAGCCACGGCTGATGAAGCTGTGAGTACCACAGAGACGCAGATGAAATCAATGTGCGCATCACCTGGTTACAGCTGGAGAGGATGCTTCACAGGCAGAAGTGTCCACAGTCCACAGTCACAGCACCCAAGATAACAAAACAAAAACCACTGAACCACACAACAACTACGCCAACACTGACGACTTACTTACAACACTGAACAAGAACAAATGCTATGGTGCAGAAACTTGCACCGGCATGTTGGTGCCGACACACATCACGAAGGGACTCTGGTTCAGACAGTAGATACCGCCTGGAATCTTCTCTTGGTATCCAAGCAGGAACCCATACTCGCCCTCAGTCAATGCTTCTTCGAACGCATTGGCTGCTGACACTTTGCACGGGCTGTCTTGGCTCCACCGAGTAGTTGGTCGCTGACAAGCCCAATCGAGCTCTGCTTGCAGCTGCTGTTCGTCTTTCCTAACAAACACCGAGTGAGACAGTGAGACATTGAGACAACCACAAGACCAGCAGGCGAAACAGCAACAAAAACAAGATACAGTCCAGCTACTCCCAGAAAAAGATGTCCCACGTCGTCTCCATTTGTCGGTTGAATAGCGGAGCAAAGACATTGAGGAGAGATCTGAATCCCAGTGTCTTGGTGCGATGCCGTCCCCTTGGTTCTGGTTGTATCGCTGGCACTCGATAATTTCATTAACCGACACATGTGAACTTGAACAACATAACAACACACAAACATGACAGCATGAAGCTGAGCCAGTTACACTGTCCACTGTCGAGGACGTTTTATTGGCCAACCAAGTGCTGTTGGTTCAACAACGCCACACGTCCATTCATATTCTGGGAGCAGTTCCTTGAATATGGAATTCGGAAACTCACAGACATTCTCCTGGACCACTATTGGTTCTTGAAGCAGCTTCCTGTGGCACACCCAGATGAGGAAATGGCTGAAGGTCTTCCCCTGCTCTTTGTTCTTCAAGCCAATCGGTGAATAATCTATACAACTCGTGCCGGCAACTTGGACAAGGGCAACTCGCTCACACATGGAGCATTGCCGTTGGTGCACCGAACAATATGCAGACCTGAAGCAACGTTGGCAAACATTCAGTTTAAAATCAACATGATCAATACGATTCGTCAACATGATGAACCCACGATGTCCGTGCTATATAATCCAAGATGCAGCGACACTGACTTTTCCGGTTCCTGGATCATGACAGGCTGCAACTCGGTTGCCACGGTGCCGCCCTCAAGCATCTGTGGTAGCATACGCTTCAGCTTTGGTAGCAAGAACTCCTCCAAATCCCCAAAGATACACTGTGGTGTTGATGGATGCTGCGACAGTTCTGTCTGACAGTGACTGTTGATTTCTATGGCATGCAAGTGTTCTGGATGCTTTGCTCGCACACCATACTCTGCTTCCAAGCCTGCAATCAGCTGAAACACACCTGTACCAGGTGCATCTATGCCGGAATAAGCCGTTGACATAGTGGTGAGCCCAATTCTCTCAGCAAGGCATCGCATGGATCTCAGCGTCGATACGTCAGTGCCCAACCGGTTCGCAGTTGATTCGTCGTTGTCGGGGAAGTGCTTGACTAATCCATCCAGGCTCCGATCAACCATGTCAGGAAGCCTTGCATATTCCTGGAGCACGAATGACGGCCAGCCTGAGCTGCAGTGATCAGTGATTACAATTCCAGCAACATTAAGTACACGTTCGCCGTTCGCTTCAGCCGCATCAACTGTGAAACGCTGGGTGAGACAGTGAGACGGCGAGACAGTGAGACAGGCGAGAACATGCTATTGATTATAGTTATTGCAACTGCCAAGCTTGTGCATGCAGTGGTTGTGTGTCTGTGTGCTTGTGACATTGCAATGGTCGTGCCAA